GGACCCGGACCCGGACACGCAGCGGCAGGTGCAGAGCCAGCAGGAGGAGCTGGAGCGCCTGCGCAAGGACCTGTCGAGCCAGAAGGTAACTTACCCTCCTCCTCCTCCTCCCGGCTCTCGGGCCACATCGCAGGCCGGGCCTTCGGGGTCCGTGCTGCCAAGACCGTGGCCTGAGGCCCAGCCCTGGGCCCGGTTCAGACAGGCCTGAGTTTCCAGGGAGAGAGCAGACCCTGGGGGCTCAGGGGAGGGGGTGTCTGCCCCTCAGGATCGAAGAGTCCTGAGCAGTTAAAAGACTTTTCAAGTCCTGCCCGGCCGGCGTGGCTCAGTGGTTGAGTGTCAACCTAGGAACCAGGAGGTCAGGGTTCGATTCCCGGTCAGGGCACAGGCCCGGGTTGCGGGCTCCATCCCCAGTGGGGGGCGTGCAGGAGGCAGCCGATCCGTGATTCTCTCTCATCACTGATGCTTCTCTCTCTCTCTCCCTCTCCCTTCCTCTCTGAAATCAATAAAAGTATATATATATATTTTTAAAGGACTTTCCGCATCCCATTCAACAGCACTTTCCTTCTTCTAATCAGGCCCATAATGACCCTAATTGCCCAGCGGCCAGTGTGACTTGGTGTCAGACTCACACCTTTCGCACGGCCGTGCGCGCTCGCCAGAACCGCCGCTGGTCACGGCGTGTGTGCTGTGGCTTCCTGTTTCCTGTGATTGTATTTATGGAGGCGGTTTTATCTCCTCTTTATTTTTGAGATTCTTCAAGAGGAAGTTCGGTATTAAAATGTTTCCAGAGCCCTGGCCAGTGTGGCTCAGGGGATAGAGCGTCGGCCTGCGGACCGAAGGGTCCCGGGTTCGATTCCGTCAAGGGCACAGACCTCGGCTGCAGGCTCCTCCCCAGCCCCGGCCCTGGTGGCAACCAATCGATGTGTCTCTCTCACATCGATGTTTCTCTCTGTCTCTCCCTCTCGCTTCCACCCTCTCTCAAAATCAGTGCAAGTGCTTACAGCTCTTTTCGAATTTGTCCGGCAGGTCTTCCGGCTTTTACCAGAAGGCCCTAAAAAAAATCTATATTAATAAAAGGGTAATGTGCTAATTAGACTGGACATCTTCAGATGTCCTTCTGGACAAAGCCATGGTGGCGCAGGCCAAGGCAGAGGCAGTTAGGGGCGGTCAGGCCAGCAGGGGAACAGTTAGGGGGCGATCAGACCGGTAGGAGAGCAGTTAGGGGGCGATCAGACCGGCAGGGGAGCAGTTAGGGGGCGATCAGGCCGGCAGGAGAGCAGTTAGGGGTGGTCAGGCTGGCAGGGGAGCAGTTAGGGGCAATCAGGCTGGCAGGGGAGCAGTTAGGGATGATCAGGCCAGCAGGCAGGCAGATGAGCAGTTAGGAACCGGCAGTCCCGGATTCCGAGAGGGATGTCCAACTGCTGGTTTATCCGGCCTACACTGGCAATCGGACATCCCTCGAGGGGCCCTTGATTGGAGAGGGTGCAGGCCGGGCTGAGGGACACCCCCGCATGCATGAATTTCACGCACTGGGCCTCCAGTAAAAAATAATAAAAAACAAAAATCAATGGATAAGTATCCTCGGGCGATCATTTTTCTCAGGTGAGGATTTAAAAAAAAAAAGTGTCCCGAGTCAGGTCAGGTTTCCACGTGGCTCCGCGTGGACGTGTCACGTGTCTGCCCCCCGCCCCCCCCGTGGCTGCAGGAGCTGGTGCGGCTGCTGCAGCAGACGGTGCGCTCCTCGCAGTACGACAAGTACTTCGCCAGCAGCCGGCTGTGCGACGGGGCCCCCCAGGACACGCTGGCGCTGCTGCACCAGAAGGACGACCAGATCCTGGGCCTGGCCCGCCAGCTGGACCGGCTGGGCCTGGAGAAGGAGAGCCTGCAGCAGGAGGTGCGCACGCTGAAGGCCAAGGTGGGCGAGCTCAGCGAGCAGCTGGGCATGCTCATGGAGACCATCCAGGCCAAGGACGAGGTCATCATCAAGCTGTCGCGGCAGCTCAGC